TGAAATGAATAATGTATAGAATTGTCTGATCAATACACTGCACACCTGAAACTAATGTAACATTGAATGTCAACTATACTTCAGTTTTATAATAACCAAATCAGGCTACTGGCATGTCCTGAAAGTTTTTCCAAGGTATAGAAAAATCAGGTACTTACACCCATAGAGAGTTCCAGCTTGCCACAAAATGTCCTGTAGGAGTAGCATGGTCCTTGTGGGTTCAGAAAGCAAGTCATGGTGGAGGAAAATGTGGACAAGCCAAAGAGAAAACAAGGTCAGAAGATTCAGGGAGCTGTCTAATCTGTAATGAACTGAAGGCAGAGGTATCAACCATCCAGAACTGAACAAACACTGTCAGAAAAAGAACTCGTAGAACCTGGGCAAGGAAAAGGAACAGTAGCCAAGCAAATACCCAAATTTCAAGATCTTGATCCAACACCTAAATTCAAGGAATGCTCCCTGAAGAACTGGGGAAGTGATCATGAAGACTGTCATAACCACAGAACGAAGATTCATTCAATAGAACATAAAAGCTGTTGATGTTTAATAAGAGTTTAAAAGTTTAAACTTTTTGATGTTTAGAAGTTAAAGAGCCCAGACAGGCAATATTAGTTCAGAAAGGTTTATCGATCACTAACCTAATTCCACGTAAATACCATCCTCAGTGGACCACAAGTCAATGCTCCATTGGGTATAAGACAGAAAACCCAACTTTACTGTTTTTGACATGAACATCCACTTGGCAGATCCCAAAATTGACATTTTAAATGGAATACTATTTTTTACAGCAAAATCTATAAAATTCATTAATTGAGTTATACCTCAAGTTAATCCAAATAAGGATTAAATTATCCTAAGCAGTAAAAACTGTCACCCACTTGTTCCTAGTTTTACAAAAACAGTTCTAGAGAGCTTTTGAATATCTACTTGCAACAACCAAAGTTACTTATTAGCTTGCTAACTTGACCTGGTTTTATGCTCTCTCCCCCTTTTTCATGCCCAACATCTGAACCCTCTTTTTTTTTTTTAACCCTCTTTTTACATGACAGATTTTTCACTAGAAAACAAATGGACATCACCCAGAGATCCCAGACTTGGAAGTGAATATAATGATCGGAAGCTCTGGGTTATCCTTACATGGGGAAGTCAGCGAGCACGTTTTTTTATTTTAAAGGCGATAGCTGTATTATGTTACATAGGAGGTTCTATATACATATTTAAATCAAAGTATAGAAGGTGAATAAAATGGTGACTTATGGGTTAGGCAGAAGAGAGGGCTATACTGGAAACCTTCTTTGCTGCTGCTTTGCAAATGAATAAAATTTACGAATGACGAATTCTCTACCTAATTAGCATGAGTGGAAGGTCAAGCCTACCTATCACTACAGACTCCAGGAAACACAAAGGTTAGTACCTCTGATGTCTCAAATGTCCGCATAGCCTGGGTGTCACCAGACCTAGGCACTTGCCTCAGACTTGGAATCAAAAGAAATCAATGTAGAGATAGATTAAGGAAATTAAGAAACTTTGGGAATGTTAAGGAATTCTCATAGGCACTGCAGCATAATTCTGGCAATCATTTCTGTCTATAAATCCCTGAACATGATCTTACTGCTTCTTGCCAATCCTTGGACCCACCTAATGTCCTTTCAATAAACTCCTTTTTCCAACTCAGTTGGCTAGCATTGGCTCACAGGCTTCCCAACCAAGAACCCAGGTTGCTACAATTTGTAAAGAGTAATGTGCTCTTTATGGATGTGATCCGTTCTGCAGTGAAACTGTCTGGGTGCAGGTTTTGTCCACCAACTGGAAAAATACTGATTTTCCAAGCTAACGTTCTAAAGGCATTGGTAATTTAACCGGTCTTGTCAAGTATGATAAGACACACAGAACGGATGCACAAATCCAAATGAAATTTCGATTCCTTGAGCACAAAATCCAAATGAAATTTAAGAATACAAAGGTGTATCTGAAAATAGTATTTCAAAATCTGGATCTCCCCTCTCCTAGCTGAAATCTCTCTATATAAAACACATTTATCTTTCCAAGCCTAGAAGTAAGCTGAAACATCAAACCACAGAATGAGGTGGGAGGGGTGCAAAAGCAGCAAAGGCTGATCAGGAGTGTGAGAGGACACGAAACAACTAGAGTTAACATTGCTATTTGTTATGTCTGAAGGTTGCTCAAGAGAAAATCTTAAGGGTTCTCATCAGCAGGGAAAACAAAAAACCCTATGATTGGGGCGCCTGGGTGGCTCAGTGGGTTAAAGCCTCTGCCTTCAGCTCAGGTCATGATTCCAGGGTCCTGGGATCGAGCCCCAGCATGGGGCTCTCTGCCTGCCTCTCTGCCTTGTAATGTGTCTGTCAAATAAATAATCTTTTAAAAAAAACCACCCATGATTCTGTATTTCTCTGAGTTGATGAATGTTAACTGTGATAATCATTTCACAATATATGTAAATCAAATCATGCTGTATACCCAAAACTTACACAGTGCTGTACGTCAATTATAACCCAGGAACACTGGGGTAAATGAAACATTGGTTCTAGGAGAGTATTTCCTAACATCTGTAATTAAAAACATTTTGGTCACTTTTCATTTATTTCTAATTTTACTGGGGTATGGTAAAAGAAATTTGGCTTGTAAAACCTCTATAAATTCTTCTATGGCCAAGTACAGCTTTAGTTTTGTGAATTTTACACAGACAAAAAGTTTTATGTAAGGGACACGGATATATGTGTATATATACACATACATATGCCATATATAGGTCATTAAAATCAAACTACTGATTCTCCTTTTTAACCTTAAATTTTAGGTTCAGAAGTTTAATTACGTATTTCTGGCATGTGACCTAAACTTATTATTGATACAGGAATTTTTGGTGGATTATCTTTAAATTAAAAGAATATTTTTTCTCCAAGGGAAATTACTGAGCAAATAATATAAATTCACATTTTTGTTTATCAGTTGACTCTATCTTTTATCAATATACTTGGCAATCCTTAATCACCACTCGAAAACTGATATAATACTCACGACTTAGTGCACACAAATGACTCACATATTCAAGCTGGCCAGAAACACACACACATGCACACTTACACACATATTTCAAAAATCTTGCAGTTTAAAAAATTTCACTTTCAATAAAATATTTTCAATGTTTACCGAAGAGATTACTTTGCAATGAATCACTTCCCAAACTTGAAATATTCAGAGCCCTCATCCTTCACCCAGTTGGCTTTATACTCATTTGTACAATCATGGTTTCTTGCTCAAAGTAAGATTCAACATGCCTGATGAGAATCATCCTAGCTTGTACTGGTTTTATCTCTAATTTGGGGGGAAAGGAACCTCTTCAGGTCCGGTTGCTAAATTTGGACTTTTTACCATTTTATGTCTTCCCCAGAAGGGAATACATGCAGAACCCCTGCTGTTCCTCCACCCGCGCATTCATCAACTGACTAAAGAGCTCTCAGGCTGTGTGTGGAGCCAGCTGTCAGCACTCAACAACTGTTCCTGAGAAATTTAATCACTGCCGTGTGTGTTGTACTCTGGTTTAAACCTCAAAGAGGTGGCTCTGCTTAGGGTCATCTCATGGGGACAGAATTTTACGGAGGGCGACCACTATTGGAGGTCACTTTCGATTTCTCATTCTTCCTCCAGAGAATTCATCTCAGTTCTCTGGTCTCCGATTTCAACTCTCAGCTTACTTTTTACTAACCCTCTAGGATCAGAGGTTTCAGGCCTAAGATAATCCACAGGATTAAAATATATGATTTAGGCAATGCGAACCACATCTTAGAAACCAACAAAGAGCTACAAAATCTTACCTAAAATCATTCTTGCAAGCTCAATTTAGGCGATGAGCACTTAGCATGACAGTGCTCTCTCACTCAGAAGACTCAGACATCAGGAAATATATCCCAGAGGAAAAAAACCCCACAAGACTACATGGGGGAAACCCTTAAAAAGAGAGCTCCTTTATACCGCTTTGGAAATATAAAAATATGCCCTTTACACAACCTGCAAATTCTCAATCCCTCATATAGAACCCCTTCTGATCTAAATTTCCAGTTCCCCCTTGCCAGGGGAATATTTTCAATGAGGAAAATCCCTGGGCATCCAAGTCCTGAGTGACCTGCTCAAGCTAATCCAAATGGAAATTTCAGAACAACGAGAAATCTCTATCTAGCTACCTAGTCTTTCCTAAATGGTCAAAGATGGAAATCTTTGGTTTACTTTTTGTTTCTGACTCCTCTTATTACTTACTACAGTAAAACAGCACACACACCAAAAGAGAAGAAAAACCAGGCATAAAGCTAAAACTCAAAAAGATACACCTGGAAACCCTTTCGATTCTGATCCATACACAAGTACCACAATGGTTCTGGAAGTTACTGTTCTATACTCTTGGCCTGCATTTTTTCCCACTTCATTATCATAGCCATTTTCCTAATATTTATGAAATCTTCACATATAATAGAAAGTGCTGAATAAAACAGATTACAAAGTAGCTACTGGGGAAATCATGTCATAAAATGGTACTGAAATACTATTTTCCAGCCTAGGTTCCAATACCTATACCAATTTCCCAATCTTCTCAACAACAAGCTCACCAGTGTTTGCATTCTCATTTACTCTTTATTGTTAAAGAGTTCTACCTCACTCACAATCACTCCATAGTATGTTGCCCATTTAATGATAATTTCCTCAGGTCAGAGTGCTTTCTTCCAGGAAAAGTGCCAATATTTATTACTTATGTGGTGATGTGTCTTAAAGGCCAGGTTTGATCTTTTTAATATAAAATGTTAAGTAAAATATGTGATTGTTTTTCTTTCTTCACCAAACTTCCAGATCTACAATAACAGAAGGCTGATATTTGAAAGGAAGAAAAGAGAAAAAAAAAAAAAAGAAAGAAGGAAGGAAGGAGAAAGAAGAAAAAGGAAAAAAAAAAAAAAAGAATACGCTGGCTGAAAGGCTTCCAAACTAGTTACATTCATAGGGTTTCTCCTCAGTATGAGTTGCCTGATGCCTAATAAGTTTAGAACTATTAATGAAAGCTTTCCCACACTGATTACATGTAAAGGGCTTTTCTCCAGTATGAGTTCTTTGATGTACAATAAGTCGAGCACTCAAGCTGAATGTTTTCCCACACTGATTACATTCATAGGGTTTCTCTCCAGTATGAGTTCTTTGATGTTGAGTAAGGCATGAACTCTGCCTGAAGGACTTCCCACACTGATTGCACTCGTAGGGCTTTTCTCCAGTGTGAGTTCTCTGATGTACAACAAGAACATAACTCTGGCTAAAGGACTTCCCACACTGGTTACATTCATAGGGCTTTTCTCCAGTATGAGTTCTCTGATGCATAACCAGGTGAGAACTGCGGTTGAAAGATTTCCCACACTCATTACATTCATAGGGTTTCTCGCCAGTATGAGTTCTTTGATGGGCAACAAGCTGAGAGCTCCAGCTGAAGGATTTTCCACACTGATTACATTCAAAGGGTTTTTCTCCTGTGTGAGTTCTCTGATGGGCAACGAGTTTATAACTTTGACTAAAGGACTTCCCACACTGATTGCACTCATAGGGTTTCTCTCCAGTATGAATTCTTTGATGTGCAATAAGCTTATAGCTCTGGATAAATGATTTCCCACACTGGCTGCATTCATAGGGCTTCTCTCCCGTGTGAGTTCTTTGATGGGCAATAAGTTTGTAGCTCTGCCTGAATGACTTCCCACACTGATTGCATTCATAAGGCTTCTCTCCAGTATGAGTTCTCTGGTGCACCACAAGAACATAGCTCTGGCTAAAAGCTTTCCCACACTGATTACATCTGTAAGGTTTCTCTCCAGTATGAGTTCTCTGGTGAGAAACAAGGTGAGAGCTCCGGCTGAAGGACTTCCCACACTCGTTACATTCATAAGGTTTCTCCCCTGTATGAGTTCTCTGATGTGCAACAAGATGAGAGCTCCAGCTGAAGGATTTCCCACAGTGATTACATTCAAAGGGTTTCTCTTCAGAATGGTTTCTCAGGTTTTGAGCAAGGGATGAACTCTGGGAGGTTTTACCACAGTTATACTGACTCTCTTCAACAGGTATTCTCTGTTGTTCATTATGGGTTATACTGTGGTTCAAAACTTGCCCACATTCCTTAAAATCTAAGGACCTTCCTCTTGCGTGTATTTTCTGATGTATATTTAGAGGTACATCATGGCTAAAAGATTGAATACTATCCCTAAATCCATAGGATTTATCTCCTGTTTGAGTTCTTGTAAACTGAATAAGGTGAATGTTCTGGTCAGGGTTTCCACATTCATTACTGTCACAGTGTTTCTCACTGTCATTAATCTTCTCATGAGTGTTTACAATAGAATTATAATTCAATTTTTTAACATGTGAGGCATGTTTATGAAAATGGCTTCTTATGGGTATCATCTGAGGTGAAAGAAAACTGGAATTCAGACCACTCTTCTCTTCAAGTTCGCTTTTATAGACCTTCTCATAAGTAATCGCTTTCCTGGGAGTAAATGCTATTTCCTTCAAAGGTCTCTCTTGTCTTTCCTGTTGCTTTTCCAAATGGTCCTTACAATCCTGAACTTCTTCGCATGAAGACAACCAAGGATCATCTCTTGTCAACCTTTCCAACTTCACTCCATGGGATGGTTCTTCATCAAAAATGTTCTGCTTTGAGGTTGATTCCCTTCTTCCAAGTACCATTGCCAAGTCTAGAAGAAAGCAAAATAAAACATCCTAGCCAAGAATGTTAGAGTTGGAATACTGGGGAAAAAGCTGACAAACAAATATATGAAATATATATGGATTTGTTTTCAGCTATGGACCTATAACCTGGATTAAGAAAATAGAAGGCTGGGATGAAGCAAGAGGCAGAGAAGTACCAGAGCATAATAATAATAATATTAATTATAATAATATAATATTATAATATTAAAGTATAATATTAATAATATTATTAATATAATAATATTAATAATATTATTAATATAATAATATTAAAATGCAGTTTTTCTGAATAAAAAGACTTTAGATGCCAAATATCTCTATATTCCAAAATAAGATCACCTGTGCAGAATCTACAGAATAACAAAACAATTTTGCAAGTCTTAGCAAAGAAACCAGCCTCCTTTCTACCCTCTTTAGTGCTACATGCGTGCTCAGTGAAATAGAAAACAGTATCTACGTTTCTAGGAATTTCTGGAGGCACAGGTCAGTAAGACAATGGCAAACTACTTTGTGAACCAAGAGAAAGAATGAGGGCACTGGTATCCCAGGTTCCCTAAATGCCTTAGCGGCGATTAAGGCCCAATGGATTCCTATGGTTCCAAGTGAGAGAGAATGGAGATTAGCTCAGAAGCAGAAGCCTGTGTGGCTACTAGGTCAAGCACAGAGAGTACACCTGGAAAAAGTGGCAATGTATGCAGTCCATAGGAGTGGGAAATGGAGAAATATGTAGCATGCCCTATGGGGATTCTTGAAATTAACCTTCAATACCTGTAATGATTCCTAAGTGTCTGTTTCTCACCTGGATATGTATGTTGGGAAATGTTTATACTCATCCCCTTGCTCCCACAAGGAGATGGCATCTAGTTTGAAAAGCTGATAGGGACCAATATAGAACTTAGGGTGTCTGGGCTGAGGACAAAAGAAAATCACGGCAGAATTTGGTCCCAGTCTTTGGTTTTTAGGAACTATGAGGACTGAACAAGCTCAAACCAAAGAAGCTGTACCTTTGCTACCCTACAAATTAAAATTAAATCTTCGGGGCACCTGGGTGGCTCACTGGGTTAAGCCTCTGCCTTCAGCTCAGGTCATGATCTCAGGGTCCTGGGATCGAACCTCACATTGGGCTCTCTGCTCAGCAGGGAGCCTGCTTCTCCCTCTCTGCCTCTCTTTCAAATATATAAATAAAATCTTTTTAAAAAATTAAATTAAATTAAATCTTCATTGGGGAATAAAAGCACACACGTAATCTACGTGTGGTCAAAATCGTTCTGACCTCTGAACTGCATAACTCATAATCCACTGGAATCATTTCAATATAAAAACTCATTAATTCTTACCCCAAGAGACCAGGTCCCTGTGGTTCTCTAGGATCATATCTCTGTCCAGGATCCTCTGAGCAGGGTTCAAAGTGCTTTCTTCCTTCTGAGTGAAATCCACAGTCACAATTTTGAAGTTCACTCCTTCCTAAAACAGGACACACATTTCTGCTCAGCTGGGCATCATTTTCTTCCAATGTTCACAAAGAAGGAAAAGTTTGACAAACGAAGAAGGAAAAGTTGACAGCCTGGAAATTGTCCTGACTGTCCAAAGGATTCCAGTCAAGGTGTACAGGTAGCTTTTATGTAAGCCTCTGTGGGTTTTGGATGCTGGACCTGTTTATACCTAGTGATCCTGAACTGTGGTTCATGAATAGGACCAAGTCCCCGAATCCCACGGAACTCCACACAAAATGCGGCTGTGCATTTCTATCATTAAGACTCACCACACATTCTGTTCATTTGTATAATGGTCATCTTTGTCACTAGGCTACAATCCATGAGGGCAGGGACAAGGTAGTGACCGTTTGTAACTGTAACTCAGGTGCCTAGCACAGTGTTGGTGTATAGTAGTTATGGAATATATACACTTGGCAAATGATTTCAAGGAGTAAATCCGGACTATCAACAGACTTCATAATACATCCAAATAATCTGATTTTTGGTCCAAATTCTGATGTAAGTCCTCTCTCTTACCTGAATCTCACTGGCTTATCACATACCCATCTGAAAAGTCCTGAAGTGGATACTGTTTTTTTCTCGACCTTTATCTCCACTTACTCTTATCCTTCATCTCATCTGCTCCAAACTACCCACCCCTCAAAATTCCTTCCCCCTTCAACTGGGTCCTTGGGCCTTCTGCTTCTAAATAACAAAATCCTACAGCTTCAACACCATCACCAAATAGTCCCTGTATATTCCCGTGTTAATGGAAACCTACATTTCCCCCAATGGCCCCCTCCTTTGCAGGCACCATGGGCTCACAGTCACTAAGCATCGGAGTGGGAGGGTGTGTGTCCTTCCAGTGACACTGAAACTCATGCTACTTACCTTACTTCTTGACCTTTGTCCTACCAACCCTTAAACACTAAAACCCCCCTCCACTGGAAACACAGAATACCTCGGATTTGTTTTCTGCTTCAAGAACTTGTATTGTCTCGTCTTGCACAGTCTCTAGCATCCATTTGTAGAGTTCTCTGATGGTAACATAAAACTAACTGACTATTTAATTTCTTTAAAGATTTATTTATTTATCTGAGAGCGGAGGGGCAGAGGGAGAAGGAGACAAAATTTTAAGCAGACTCTGCTGAGCGCAAAATCCAACACAGTGGCTGATCTCACGACCCTGAGATCGGGACCTAAGCCTAAGCCAAGAGCCAGATTCTTAGCTGACTGCCCCAACCAAGTGCCCCAAAACTAACTGACTTTAATGAGGCACTTTCTGTGTGCTTTCAGGCTGTGAGCTAAGCATGTTGCATGAACTATCATTCATTGAATTCTCACAAGGTCCCTGAGAGAAAATCCTCATAGCAGCACCATTTTTTTCAGATGAAAAGCTGGAAGAACAGAGAAATTAACACGTATGTCCGAAGTCAGGGGCTGCGAGGCAATGTCAACTTTGCCTAACGTGTGTTCTCAGTCACCGATGCCTAGCGCTGCCCAACTTCCAGCCCCTAGAATTGCTCCTCAGCACCCCGCTCTCAGGGTGAGACCCCAGACCTTGAAATCTCCATGAAGTACTCCACCTCCCAAGTCACGCAGACAGAACTCTCTCATTACAACACCCAATCGCTGTCCCTCACTCTTCTCATTCTTTGACAGTGTGGGGCCACCACTCAACTCAAGTATCTACAGTTAACCATCCACTAGTCTACATGCTTTTCCTTCCCATTTAATGCTCCTTTTATCTTTTCCATCTTGACTATTCCGACTAGAGTAACTGGGTCATTCGTTTTCATCTTTCTATTTGATCTATTCAAAAATCCTCTTTCAAACCGTACCTTGCCCTACGGGGCTTTCATGGAATGTTCCTGGCTACAAGAATGAATCTGAATGTCTGTCTATAGTCTACAAAATGTAGGTTCCAGAATGCTGCTGGGAAAGAAGACTCTTGAGAGCAGCACCACAGAGTACTATGGGTGGTAACTACCTCGGGATAGTCCATTCAGACTGACCGGCAATGCTGTTAACCTCCTGGAGCTGCCTCGCTCTCATAATCCAATGGTACTGCTTTCAGCCTTCTCCACTTCCTTGCAGCTCTCACTCTTTTCAATCTTTAGCATGAGAATGGACCAATTTTTTGTAAAAGTTGTCCACTTGTACCCGTTTCCTCCCTTTCTGCTCACCCCCCAGCTCACTTCAACCAGGTCCCTGCCGCCAACTGGCCATGCACATTTCTCAGTGGAGGCTCACTCACCTGGGATGGAAGAGCCAGTGATCCGGCATCTTCTCTCTCGACCTTAACAATAATCTCTTGAGCAAGAGGAGAGTCCTGAGAAAGCAAAACAGATGAGAAAGAGGAAAATAACCAGGAAGCTAAGTCGTGGCTCAAAACTCCCACAGTGAGTAGGCCAGGATGTGAAAAACTACCTGTTTCAACATATCCCACCTACAAGACTTCTGCTCCCTCCCAATAGTACACTCATGCTAGTTCCCACTGGGCAGGAAGCCTGATGTGGGGCTCGATCTGAGGACCCTGCTGGTCACACAGACCCACCCTGGTACCACTTGGATGTGGAGCCCGATGTGGGGCTCGACCCTAGCACCCTGAGATCATGACCTGAGCTAAAGTCAACAGTCAGACCCTTAACAGACTGAGCCACCGTAGGTCCCAAGTATCTAAACATTTTTGTTTAGAGGAATAATAGGTCTCTTTCATCAACGCAGAGATTAATGGTAACAATGTTTAGTTAAACCTGTTTAAGTCCACGAAGTTCACCAGAGATGGTCCAAGTGCTAAATGCCTGATCCAAACTCTGTCCCTTCCTGCTCCGCCGCTCAAAGTCTCATCATTTAGGCCACCTCTCCCTGGAAGCGTTCCCGGATAGCACAGAGTCTCATCTCGTCTTCCCTTAGGATTTCGTAGCTGTTTTTATCGGAGCTTTACTGGAACAGTAAAATCACTCTCCTTCTTTTATTGCTTCCATTTCTACACCACTCCTCTGGGTCATGAGATTGGTGCCATAAAGAACTGTATATTTTTCACCTTTGTATTCTCAGTACTGAGTAGGAGCGTAATGTGCGTCATCTAAAATTGACGGGGTTAGACATACGTGCAGGGCTTGGGGTACAGGAGAGGAATTTAAAGGTTTCATTTTTTCACTACTATTTATTTACTTTACAACTTTACTGGGGTACGCTTGACAAAAATTATCTGGGTGAGTGATGTGATGTTTTTTAACTATGTGGACACTATGAAATGGGTACCAGTCAGGGTTTTGATCTCAGCCCCCCAAGGCAGGCAGGGCCTTCCCCGGCCCAGCTACTTCCCGTGTGTAAGTCACTGACACCTCTCAGCTGATGTCCATCAGGCTGCTCACTGGGCTCATGGCCCGCATTTAGCACCAAGACTTGGGCTCCCCTGATTTCTCTTCCTGCTGGGGCTTTAACTGATATCCATCACACCCAAACAAAGTACTTGTGCACCTTCTGACAATGATTAAAATTTACTAGAGGACATTCAGAGTGGAGAAGTGCACTAGGCAGCCTCCAAGACGGCCCCCAATGGCCCCCACCCTCCAGGAATTCACACCCTATGTAGTCCTTGCCCACGCAGTACCAGTGGGTCTGTGTGACCAACAGATTACAGAAAGAGTGATGCTGGGACACCTGGGGGGCTCAGTCTGTTAAGTGTCTGCCTTCGGCTCAGGTCATGATCTCAGGGTCCTTAGCTCAAGCCCCGCATTAGGCTCAGCAGGGAGCTTGCTTCTCCCTCTGCTCCTCCCCATCCCCACCCCTGCTCATGTTCTCTCTCCCTCATATAAATTAAATCTTAAAAAAAAAAGAAAAAGAAAAAGAAAAAGTGTTGCTGTGCCACTTCTGAGATCAGATGATAAAAGGCACTGTGGCCTCCATCTTGGCTGTGTGCCATGAAGCGCTCTCTCTTCTCCCTCCTCTCTCTCAGGTCCTTCGCACCAGGAGAAAGCAGCTGCCATGCTGTGCACAGCCCTGGGGAGAGGTCTGTGTGGTGTGGAACTGAGGCCTCTCGTGAACAGCCATGGGAATGAGCGGGCAAGGGGTCCTCCCACCCATGAGCCTTCTGAAGAGAGCGGCTCAGGCCGACAATTTACCACAACCTCGTCAGAGATGCTGATCACCAGGAACATCCAGAGAAGCCACTCCCAAGCTCCCAACCCCGAGAAACCACATGCGATCATAAATGCTGGTTGTTCTAAGCTGCTGAGTTTCGGGGTATGGAGCCAAAGATGATGAACACAAGAAGGAAGATGTTTCTGCTTTTCCTGCGTAGCCTTGGAATATACAAGAAGTGAATGGATAAAGAACGTGGTCCAGATACACAATGGAATATTCCACAGCCATCAGAAAGGATGGATACCCACCATTTGCATCGACATGGATGGGACTGGAGGGGATTGTGCTGAGTGAAGTAAGTCAAGCAGAGAAAGTCACTTATCATATAGTTTCACTTACTTGTGGAGCATAAGGGATAGCATGGAGGACATTAGGAGAAGGAAAGGAAAAGTGAAGGGGGGGAGGTCAGAGGGGGAGATGAACCATGAGAGACTGTGGACTCCGGGAATCAAACTGATGGTTTTGGGGGGGCGGGGTGGGGGGATGGGTGAGGCTGGTGGGGGGTATTAAGGAGGGCACAGATTGCAGGGAGCACTAGGTGTGGTGCATAAACAATGAATCACGGAACACTACATCAAAAACTAATGATGGGGCGCCTGGGTGGCTCAGCTGTTAAGCATCTGCCTTTGGCTCAGGTCATGATCCTGAGGTCCTGGGATCAAGTCCCGCATCGGGCTCCCTGCTCAGCCTGCTTCTCCCTCTCCCACTTCCCCTTCTTATGTTCCCTCTCTTGCTGTGTCTCTCTCTGCCAAGTAAATAAATAAAATCTTAAAAAAACAAACTAATGATGAACTATACGGTGACTAACATCACATAATTAAAAAAAAAAAAAGCTGCACATTTCTGTCTGGGAGCACTGGGTCATCTTTCTCCCCAGCACCTCACATGGGGCCTTACACTGGCTAGGCCATCAATGAATACCTGACAAAAGTCAAAATTATAATGAACAGATCGCTAGTTCAGTTGTGTAACAGAGAAAAAATGGCAAATGGACCATGAAGGTTCCCAGAAAATACCTAAAGTCACTAGCTTAAAGCAGAATGCCAATGGTCACAATCAAAGCATGCTTTACTTACAGTTTTGACAAAGTGTGAACGTACTTATGTAAATTTAAATGCATAACTCCCTCTCAAACTCTTGCACACGTGTCCAGCCGACCCTTGAACACCACCAATTTGAATTGCACGGGTCCACTAATATATGGATATTTTTCCCCAATAAATACAGTACAGTAGTGTAAATGTATTTTTTTTCTTTATGATTTTCCTAGTAACATTTGCTTTCTAGCTTACTTTATCATAAGAAAACAGCAGAAAACACGTGTAAGATACAAAATGTGTGGGGCGCCTGGGTGGCTCAGTCCGTTGGGCATCTGCCTTCGGCTCAGGTCGTGATCCTGGGGTCCTGGGACTGAGTCCCGTGGCGGGCTCTCTGCTCAGCGGGGGAGTCTGCTTCCCCCTCTCCCATTCACCCGCTCATGCTCTCTCCCTCTCTCTCAAATAAATAAAAAATTTTAAAAACATACAAAATAGGCATTGTTGATGGCTTATGTTATCAGTAAGACTTCTGGTCAACAGAATGCTCTTAGCAGTTAAGTTTTGGGGGAGTCAAAAGTTACACGTGTGGGGGGAGGGGGGTTGGGAGAAGGGGGCTGGGGTTATGGACATTGGGGAGGGTATGTGCTATGGTGAGTGCTGTGAAGTGTGTAAACCTGGCGATTCACAGACCTGTACCCCTGGGGATAAAAATATATTATGTGTTTATAAAAAATTAAATAAATAAATAAATAAATAAATAAAATTTTAAAAAAAAGTTACACGTGGATTTTCAACCATACAGGGGGTCGGTTTCCCTAACCTCTGCCTTGTCCAAGAGTCAACTATACAGGGAATCATACACAAAAACACTTACAGTAGTGCTGTTTGTGACAGCAAAACATGGAACCCTAAATATCTACTGAGTGTAAGCCCACAGATTCCATGGCCAGAGGTGGAAATATGGGCACCAGGCACGCATACTGGTATGAGAATGTCACTGCTCCCAGGCCCTGACAGTGGACAGAAATAGGATCATACGTGTGTATGTCTACACACACACACACAGCTCTACATATTTCTACACCTACATCTACTGAAAACCACGAGCCATATCGATACCTACAATCCCCACTGACCACTAAAGTTCATTCCATTGTTCCTATTGCCCCATCTGATTGCGAGAACCCTGGCTCCCAGGAGTCTCATGACGTTTACTCAGCTGACCATCGCCCCTGTGGGTCACTCCTCTCTCATCCCCACTGCCACTCCCTCTCCCACACAGATGCTCCTCGGCCCCCCTGGGCTTGGCCAAGAGGCCCTCCTCACCCTCCTCGGGCTCTGACTCTCCAGGCAGGTGGTCTCTTCTCATAGACTCACTCTCATGCCGTCGGGACTTGGACTCCAGGTGGACGCCCTTGACCTCCGGCCTGGGCTGGGGCTGTCATAGCCCATCCTGGGCTACCCTCCTGCGTTGATAACCTCAACGTGCTTTGGTTGTGATACACACCAGGAGGGGCCCCCGACCCCGACACAGTGCACATCTCACACCCCATGGGCCGCCCTTTGCATAGACTCACCGCACTTAGGCTGTCCCCTGTGGACGCCCTTCTCACCTGCTCTGGCCCTGTCACCCCAGAGCTGATCCCCCTCCCCCAGACGTCTCTCACCTCACCCCACCTGTGCTCTGACGCCCGGTGCCACCTGCCTCACCGTGTTTGGTCACTGATGCCCCCACACAGGGACACCCTCCTCAGCCTACAGGAGGGAGCGCTCCCTCGCCTGCAGACCCCCACGCAGCCGAACCCCACCTAACGGCTTCAGGGTTGAACTGTTTAGGAAGGAAGAGGTGAAATGCTAACTGAACATTTTTAAGAAGTTAAACGTCTTCAAAGAATATTTGTTGCAGAAAAGTGCTTTAAATGTTGATTTCTTAACCTTAAAATGTGCTGTACAGAAACAGAAAACGATAGATAAGTAAATGAAAACATAAAGTCACTAGGGATGGCACTTGCACACAAGCTTTGTTAACCTCCTTATTTCTATTCTTCTAACACATTTTCTTTCATTTTTTAAAAAGATTTTATCTATTTATTTGACATAGAGAGAGAGATCACAAGTAGACAGGGAAACAGGCAGAGAGAGAGGAGGAAGCAGGCTCCCTGCCAAGCAGAGAGCCCGATGCGGGTCTCAATCCCAGGACCCCAAGATCACGACCTGAGCTGAAGGCAGAGGCTTAACCCACTGAGCCACCCAGGTGCCCCCTAACACATTTTCTATACACACACAAACTACATCCCTTTTAGAAAGAAAAAAAAAGATGACTGATCCCAGGGTCTAGGATCGAGTCCCGCATCGGGCTCCTTGCTCAGCAGGGAGCCTGCTTCTCCCTCTCCCTCCACCGCTCCCCCTGCTTGTGCTCTCTCTCTCATTCTGACAAATAAATAAATAAAATCTTAAAAAAAATTTTTTTTTAAAGATGATCATTCCTGTCGGCACCTGGGTGGTGTAGTCAGTTAAGCATCTGACTCTTGGTTTCAGCCTGAGTCACACTTTCATGGTCATAAGATCAAGCCCCACATCAGGCTCCACACTTAGCACAGAGTCTGCTTGGGATTCTCTCTCTCCCTCTGCCTCTCCCCCTGCTCACATGTGCTCTCTCTCTCTCCCTCTCTCTAAATAATCTCTCAAAAAAAAAAAAAAGATGATTATTCTTAAACATTATTTACTGAACACAGATCCTACCTATCTTCGTACATCAGGAAATAAGCATTATCGCACCCATCAATGGTCACAGCATCGCCCATTTCATGGTCTTCCCATGACTCTTTGACCCTTCTCCTGCAAGGCCCATTCTTGAACATTTTTTCCTGTTGCTCATTCCCAAGCGAAACTGGGAGCAGCTGGCCACAGAGCAATCAGAACTCAAAGGGCCTTTGATACAGGGTGCCAAATTCCTCCCCGGAAGAATTATCTGGGTTAAAATGGTGAGGAAATGCCGGAGCCTCCGAAAATGTAGTGTATCAAGTCAGGGGAGACCAAGAGCCCCCAAAACACTGCAAAGAGAGCCAGGTCCGCTCCCAAGCCGAGAGTCGCCAGCTCTAAGCTCTGGGTGTCCTCAAGGAAGGGAAGTTCCACTCACCTGCGCACATGTCTTCAGGGGCTCTGGGGGCTTCTCATCCCGCTCTTCCATGCTCTTCCAGGCACAGGCAGAGGCCTGAGGGTCCTGAGCTGTAAGGGCAGAAGCCCTGAGAAGAGCATCCTGGCGCCGGTCCACCGTGGTGCCCCCCCAGCACCACCCCCCACCCAGGATTAGTCTCTGCTTCCAGGATGCATTCCCCATGGCAAGCGTGCATCTAGAGCTTTCTGCCTGAAAAGCCCTGCATGCACCTAGAGTCCCTCAGTCCCCGTCCCAGGCCAAGACTCTGCACCTGCAACCTAGTACCCCCACTACCATCACAGGGCTCTGGACCCCCTAACTGTAAGTCATGCCCAAACACAGCCTCTGCCCACCACCGAGTTCTGCAGCACACGTCAGTCCCTCCCTGCACCACCGGGTTCTGAGATCCTCACAAAGGCCCAGCACACCGAGGACCACCTAGCATGCGCTCCTCCCCCGCCATGACCTGAATCTGCAACCCTAAACCAGCTCCCCTTCCTTGGGCAAGGAGCAGGGCTTCTGGGACGGATCACACAGAATCACCCTCCCTGACTGAATACATGAAGCTGGTGACACAGCCCCACCTATCCCAGGATCTGACCCTTCCATTCACCTCGCCTGACCCTCTCGCAACCTGTCATGAATGGCCTCCCACTTCCAGCTCAAACAACCAAGCACATGCATGGAGCTGGGTCACACATAGGGAGGGCCTGGTGCCTCCATCGTTCTGGGCTCCACTGGCCCATACCAGAACAGCACCAGCAGGATCTCCAGTCCCAAACCCGCCTGAGCCTCCAACATGTAGCTCAGATCTAGTCCCTAGACCAACCTGGGTACCCTCAGGCATGAATCAGCAACAGAGCCGACATGGGCCTGGAAGCTTCCTGACACATCCCAGCACGTGCCACCCCTTCCTCGGCCCAGAAAGTGGACCTCATCTGTCTTTGTGCCAGCTCGAGATTTCTGGGTCTGAGACTAGAACAGCCCCTGGCAAATCCCAGCCCACACACCACATTACCAACCCCACTCCATCTCTCCCTCTTATCCACATCCCCTTATTCCCACCAGATTCTCACTCCAACAGTATAGCGAGGGTTCACAACGCGGCTGCGTCCTGAACTTGCACACACACCATTTCCTCCACCAACACCCAAAGACCCCTACTTGAGCCATACCTGCCCAGATTCCTGCCCAAATGTCCTTCTGGGCACCTGCGGCTTAGGGAGATCCTGTCTTCCCACCACCTTGGGTACCACCAGCATGTGATTAGAGCACCCTCTGCACAAAGACCCCAGCACCCTCTAATTCCCACCTACAGCCTCCTGTTCCCCGTCCAAATACCCGTGTGTGTGTGGACAGGAAGCAGCCCTAATCCTCTGCAGCCCCAAATCTCTGGGAGTGGAGGTGCTCTCTCTACTCGCCTGAGTATCTCAGGCAGTACTAGGGTCCTAGGACCGCTCATGTCTCCCCATTCTGCCCCCTCCAGGTCCAAATCTGTGGCCCAGACTCTACCAACCCGGGCTTTCTCATGCCTGCAAGCAGAGTAGCCCCTGAGCAAAGGCCCTGGGAATGCCTACTTCATGATCATGCTCCCAGCACCCTGCTTCCTTACCAAACAGCTGTCTATGTGAGGCAGCTGCTGCAGCTCCGTCCTTCCCGGACGCCAATTCTGCACCTCCAACCCAAAGTCTCCACCAAACTTGAATGCCCTACGGCTCTGCGTTACCATACCTGGGTCCCAGGATTACCAGTCCACATCTCTGCTTCCCATTCGAATACCACCCAGCACGTGCAGGGAGCGCTCTGACTAGAACGCGCCCCCTCGGCCCTGGTCCCTCCTTCAAATTAGGAGTCTGAAGCCCCTCAGCGATTCTCAGAAGGTTCGCTCAAGTAGCTCTGCCTCTTCTGGAACAAGAATCTGCAACTCAAACCTGGTCTCTTCACTACCCAGGGGGCCCGCTGGGTCCCCAAACCAATCACCCAGAATCTCAACTCCCACCTCATGCTTCCTACTCAAGCGTGTGCTCAAAATACAGGAAGAGCGGCAGAGCCCCTCTCCTCCAAATCTGCTATTGAGTACTCCATCCTCCCGGGCTTCAGTCCTCAGATCCTGCACTAAACCGGCCTGGCACTGGAGGAAGGGAAGGCGGGGTTCTCAGGATCTCCCCACATCCCAGCACATGGCCTGTCTTCACCAACCTAGGCATTCTCAGGCCTTGGACAAGGGAACTACCCGATCAAGAACTCGCGCATGCCCTGTGTCCCGAATCTGTAGCTGCACCCAAGTATCTCCACCTACTTCGGGGACCCGAGGCTAAAGCGCCGCCCGTGACGGTCCCATGTCGCCCACCCACACTCCCAACCCATGTTCCCGCCCACACCCCGCGCATGCGTGCACGGGACACCCAGCGCCACCCCGCCCCTCACCGACCTGGGCGTCCACCGGCTCGCGGCCCTAGCCGGGCCTGCCCCAGCTTCGGTGCCCCGCACGGCTCTGCGGCAGAACGAGGTCGGGTTAAGCAACCCCCTGCGCCGATTCTGCACACGACAGACTCGGCTTAAGTTAGTTCGGCCCCCTCCCCTAGTCGGCATCCGCAGAGCGGCTCGGCTGACGTCCGAGCCCAGGTGCGCGGCGACTGCAGCCGCCCGCAGTCGGGACAATGGCTGCGTTTCTGGCCGAACCCGGAAGTGCGTTTGGGCTTGGCGAGCCAGGACTACAATTCCCAGAAGCCTCAGCGGCGCCCGCGGCGATTACGCGGGCGTCCAGCTCCTCCCGGAGGTGAGCGTGGGAATTACGGCCCGACGCGCTGGGTTGGGGTAGCTGTCTGGGCCGAGACTAAGTTTTTGCCCGGCTCCCAGAGGAGGAGCTGGACCGGAAGGCTCAGACCAAGGCTCCGATGTGGGGGCGGTGGCTGACTTGGAAAGAGCTAGTCTGGCACCGGCTGGACGCCCAGGCAGGAGCAGCCGTGAAAACGGGATCCGATGAAACTGCGGGGTCCCCTCCCGGGCTCCCGCTGCTTTGTCAGACGCTTGCGCGCAGTCTCTTTTTTGGTCCTCAAGTCCAAAGACAGTGGCTACGAGCCCGTTACACAGTCCAGGATGCTCCTGCCAAGTCCTTCAAGAATCTGACATGCTGGTATGTTTTTGTAATTCATAACAGTGAAATAGCAAGAATCCTTTTGTTTTTTAAACTGAGTTCTTTCTCTGCCTCTAAGACTTTAGGGATATGTTCACCATCACTCTCCTTCGCTTTTTGCCTTATCTCCTGACCATTTTTTCCTCTCTCGGTTCCAGCCACGTTGGCCTTTCCACCTTCCCCAGGAACTCCATGAAGCTCCCACCTCAGGACCTTTGCATGTGCTATTCATGCTGGCTGGCAGGCTCTTTCTTTTAGGATTCCCCTGGATTCTGCCATCTGGTCTTTAGGCAGATGTCACTTTCTTATGAGGCATTCCCCCATCAACTGCTGTAAACTCACTAACAAACCTTTCACTCCCCACTACTCCCTGCCTCCCTCCTCATCTTTAGAGAACTTTTCACTAACATATGTTGTAGGTATTTATTTGGTTTGTTGTTTATCTGCTTTCACCCCCAGATGCCACCGTAAGGGAAAGGATTTGTATCTACTTTGATCAGTGCTGTATCCCCAGCATCCTAAGGTAGGGGGCACATAATAGATGCTCAATAAATGTTTGTTTTGTTTTAAATAAATAAAGGTCCCTGGCCCTTTGTTAAACACATTAACATCTCATTAACTGGCACAATCACCCTATGAGAAAACAGTGGTGTTTATTTCCAACCCACCAGGGAGGAGCTGGCCATTGGTGCCACTGTATGAAAATATGGCATTTAAATTTTTTTAATTGCTATCAAAGTACTCCTCTAGTTTTCTTCACATAACTTCTTTTAACAAATTATTGCTATTTGAAATGTAATCTCCACCCCCCAAATTCCTTATGACTGGTTATTGTGGATAATTTTTTTTTAAAGATTTCATTTATTTGAGAGACAGGGAGACAGACAGAGAGAACATGAGCAGGGTTGAGGGGCAGAGGGAGAAACAGATTCCCTGCTGAGCAGGGAGCCTGAAGCAGGGCTCGATCCTTGGACTTAAGGATCATGATCTGAACCAAAGGCAGAAGCTTAACTGACTGAGCCACCGAGGCACCCCTGTGGTTGATTTAAAAAAAAAAATTATTTGGGGGGGTGCCTTGCTGGCTCAGTTGGTACAGCATGCGACTCTTGATCTCGGGTTTGTGGGTTCGACCCCAAGATCATGACCTGAGCTGAACGCAGATGCTTAACAGACTGAGCCACCCAGGCGTCCCTGAAATATTAAGAATTCTTATAGTATTTCCTTGGATACTCTTGACTTTTCTAGTGAGACGTCATCTACAGATAATTATTTGATCTCTTCCTTGCCAGTATTTTTAACCAGCTATTTCTTTGCATTTGGATTATGTTGGCTATCGTTTTCACAACAATATCAATACAAGTAACATTCTTGATTGTGTTCTCTTTTTAATGGGCATGCCTCTAACGTTTGAGGGTTAAATAGGTTGTTTTTTAAATGAAAGTAGGTAACTTATTGTTTTTTAAAAAAACTTTTTGTTACATAAATTTCCAGCACAAAAGTAGGGAGACTAGTTAAAGGCCACCCCCTTTGGCCTGTCATGCAAATTAATTTTCCACTGGATCTTTTCTCATCTCTAGTCCCACCTGTGCTTTCCACTGTCCTCCTCCCCCAGTGATTTTGAAGCAAATCCTACACATTGTTTCATTTCATCTGTAAGGGTTTCAGTATATGTTTGAAAGACAGGGACTGGTTTTGAAAACAAAACTTCAGTACAAAATAGATACCCATCATGGGGCACCCGGGTGGCTCATTCGGTTGAGCATATGACTCCTGATTTTGGCTCAGGTCTTGATCTCAGGGACATGGGATCCAGCCTCACGTCAGGCTCCACGCCCAGTGGAGATTCTCTCTCTCCCTCTGCCCCTCCCCACCCACTAGCACGCTCTCTGTCTCTCAAAAACAAAACAAAACAAAACAGATGCCATAACCACTGGGCACAGAGAATGCAAAATTAATGTGATTGGCATATATGATTATAAACCTCAAGACCCAAGAGAATGAACTAAAAGAAATGAACATCAAGGAGAGGCTAGAAAGGCATCAAATATGAAACAGATAATGGTAAACATTTATGTACCACTCTGGGCCAGGTACCACTGTAAGGTCCTTATAAATATTTCTCACTTAGTCCTCCCAGGAATTCATACAAGGTTGGACTGTTACTTCCATTTTACAAGAGATGACACTGAGGCCCGAAGTGTTAAGTAACTTAGCCGGGATTGTATTGTGAGGACAGAGCGGGGACTGAGTCCGAGAAGTCTGACGCTAGAGTTCATGCTCTCAGTTCCTACATTATATTGCCCCTTGCCCACCTATCAATATCCTTCTTCTACATAAGCAATACTAAGTTTGCAAACAAGACAGAAAAGTTTGTATTTATTCATAATAGAAGCAAAAAAAAAAAAGGAAACATAAGAAACCTTCAAAACTCCAATGACAGACGTAAAAGACAATCACCATATTACAAGCTGTGTTGTAAAGATGTCAAATCTTGCAGAATGATCTACAGATTCAGTATGTAAATATGACAAAATCATGATGGGATGCTTTGACCATGAACTCATCTTCTTTTTTCTCTATATTTTTTCCCACTTTTTAAAATTTAAGATCTTCAGACATTAAAGCATTAGTAATATATAATTTAAAACTAACTTTGTCATTTGTTTGCTCTTTTTTTCTTCTTGTTTCAAAATGAACAAGATGGTTTAAGTTTTACTTCCAGGAGCACTCGAATCCTGAATGTTATGGGGACTTCAGAACAGCTACTACTAGGGAACAGGAACTCATTCTAGGGAGATGCCCATCGAACCCAGAGGTCTCTGTATCAGCTGTTTGGGGATTGGGTAAGACCTGAGTTTCATATTGCAGTTCTGCTGGCCAGGATTTGGGTGAGGGCTCAACACTTCTTGAGAAACAGGGAGATCATGAATCCATCTGCTCTAAATGCTGGAAGATAAAAGCAAGAGTCACTAGAGGGAGAGTATAACCTGTTCCTGGAATACAGGGGGTGGCAGGTTCTTGGCAGTAGGAGGGAAAAAAAAGACAGTCCTTTTCCTTTGCTCAATCCTCTTCTCAAACTATAAACATTGGAGGGACCCAGGGCTTAGTTATCTGCCCCTACTGTTCTCTGTCTTTATCCACTTTTTTGCAACCTGTAGGGGAAAGGGTTAACTCAACAGGCCTGGGGTATCAAACCCAAGAAGGGCCTATTTCCATGACTAACTCTTGGTCGGCTTCTAGGAACTGAACCCTTACAATGTTCTGTCTGATAAAGGGTTTGCAGGCCTGAGGCCTTGAGCCACACTGTACCAGATTGTCCATAGTTTATACAAACAACGTCATCTCTGGTGAACACCAACGTCCCTTCTGTAGGGCCTGGAGTTTCAGTGACAGGTCAGTCCTATGGTACATGCCCATGTGACTGACCTCCTATAAAAACCCCGAACACTTAGGTTCAGCGTGAGCTGCCCGGGTTGGCAACCCCTCCCAGGTGTTGTCACACATCATGGCTGGGGGCCTTCCCTGGGGATTCCACTGAGAAAGGAAGCTTGGGTGTGGTGTCCTCCAGACTCCACCCCATGTACCTTTCCCTTTGCTGATTCTACTCTCTCTCTCTTTTTGCTGTAATAAACCATAACCATGAGTATAACAACTTCTGGGTACTGTGAATCCTTCTAGCAAATCCTCGAGTCTGAGGCTGGTCTTGGAGAGCCCAGACACGAGATCTCCTACAGCCCCATCACTTTAAACCCCACTAACAAGTCCCAGATGTATATCTCTCCCACCGTGCTCTCTCTAGACTTCTTAGGAACAACTGCCTGTTTTATCCTCCAGCTAATCTATTTTTGACATGCCTAAAGCAAATTCTTGACTTTCCTTGTCTATCCCAAATGTGCCCCTCCCTCAGTGTTGCCTCAGAAAGTGGCCTGCCAGTCATCCAAGTGCTCCTGGGGAGTCGTCCTTGACTCCTCATTGTTTTCACCAAATCGGACTCTCAACACCTCCACCCCCAGGTCCCTTGGGATTCTAAGCATCTTGCATCTGCTCCTCCCTTGGGTGCATCAGTCTTTCGTGTCATTCTGGTTTTTTCTTGTCATCATCTCTTAGTCTCTCCTTGTTTCTCATCTGCTGCCATGATTTTAAAAGGCTGCTCCCTGTGTACATCCCGGCTCTCCTCTGGCCGGCTCACACCCACCCCCCGCACCTGGCTGCCATGTCCACCACCAGTGTTTGCCCATCCTCGAGGCTTCCCCAGCTGCTGGGTCTCGAACCTTGGCCCGCTAATTCAGGATCACTCTCTCCCTGTTTTTATTGCTTTTAAAGAAACACGAACCAAAAGCCCAAGATTGG